GGGAGGAGGGGCAGAGAGGCTGCTTTTGTCTGTTCGGCAGCCTGTTGCTCAGGGGAGGGGGCAGGCAGCCTGTTGCTGGCAGGGGCGTGGGGAGGCACTTTTCCTCTGCCCGGCAGCTCTGCGGGACCCCAGTCGGAGCCAGCCCGAGGAGGAGGAGGATCCCAGGACCCAGGTGAGCGAGCCCCGGGGACGCTGCTGCGCTCCGGGAGCCCGGCATGTATAGAGGGGAGGAGGGGCAGAGAGGCTGCTTTTGTCTGTTCGGCAGCCTGTTGCTCAGGGGAGGGGGCAGGCAGCCTGTTGCTGGCAGGGGCGTGGGGAGGCACTTTTCCTCTGCCCGGCAGCTCTGCGGGATCCCTGTCCCTGTGGCCAGCTGCTGCAGGCAGAGGCCAGTTGGAGCCGGCCGAAGAGGAGGAGGAGGGGGATTCTAGGACCCAGGTGAGCGAGCCCCGGGAATGCTGCTGCGCATGTGCAGGAGTTGCCTCACCCGTTCGTATCTAGGGATCTGACGTAAGTCGGATCCACGTAAGTCGGGGACTGCCTGTAACAAAAATTAAGTGTTCAGTAAACTGAGTATAAATGCTTCCATTTCTGTCAGTTTATTGTAGTCCAGATGCTCTAAAATAATACATATAAAATGATAGTGATTCTTTAGTTTTCTTTGTAATTGTGTTTTGAAAAATATACCTGATGGTTCTTCCAGTAAAGGTTTTGGCCTAGTTTAGACTTTTATACAAGAAATTTCATGTTGTACTCCACTCCTTTGTGTAAACACAGAGGTGGAAGATTAAGCCTTCGGTAGGTGGAAGGAGGGAGATGGGATCACTCAGAAGGAAAATGAGGTGAGTCAGGGACTTCTAGAGGAAGAGTACAAAAAAAGATCTGGAGTAATTAAATTATAGATAGAGCACTGATTTCAGAATCCACATCTGCCAAATGAGTTGCAGACATCAGCAGATATAAAGCGGATATCCATGGATTTACAGGGCTCTGCTGAATAGTGCAACCATCTCTTCAGTTAAATCTTGTCCTTCATTAGCAGCCATTTGCCTACATTGTCTACTGTCTCTTGCACATACATCCTCTTGCCAAACATGGCCACAGATCTATCCTTAGAGCTGCATGTGAAGGTTCCTCTCTACCATTCTCTCCTCCTGCTTACCCCAAAGGTGCATATTTTAGGTCCAAGGTCTATGTAGCACATGGGGGTGGAGACTGGGATAGTAGAGGTGGAAGGAATAGGCATATGGGGGAGGGGCATTCTTCTAAATATTCTCTGGGAAAGAATTCAGCACAGGACTGTAAACACAGCCCAGACCCAGGAGTCTCAGGTGCAGTTACAGATAGTTTAGACTTGGCTGTGCTACTCCTTTACAGCTGCACTGTCCAGGAGCTGATTTTCCCCTTTGTAGAGACCTCTGAGCAGGTAAATAGCTTCTTGAGATGAGCAGAAGGGAAGCCCTAGACATACAACTGTAAGAGTCAGGGATCCAATTTCCACTGTTATCTGTTGACACTGTTGCAAGAGTTAAAAGTTTGCATTGTATTTTGTTTCTGTTACTGGCTTAAAATTCAAGGTTTTAGCTAAAATAAGGGAACTCAGTAAAGTCTTGTTTACATGTTAGAACAACCTCAAGGGTTATGCAGACTAAATTAGCCGATGGACCTTTCATAAAGGTGGCCTATTCTATTGAACTATTTTGTTTCTACATGGATTTGTTGCATTGAATACAGCAATGTGCATGGCATTATGAGAATTGGGCATCTAGTTAATTCATGAAATATCATAGTGTACATTTCAGTGCATAACGTCTTTTGTGTCCATGAGGCAAATCCTTGTCTTGCTTTTAGTACCTGATTGATGAGCAAATCAGAATGGGAGTTGTAGTTTTATGTACTTTTGATACGAACTTAATTACCTGTTTCTAATGTGCCATCTGCTACTTTTCATTGGCTTGCCATGGTACAAACTATAATGAGTCCCATCTTGCACCAGGCCACTTCTGAAAACAAGAGGGAAAAAAAGAAAAAATTAGTAGAGTAGGTATACTAAGGTTTCATTTGTTCAGTGTAATATAATTCTTTAAAATGTGTCAATGCTTCAAGGTGCATAGTATTTACTACTGGGAGGAGAGACAGACATGGATATATCCTATGGAAATACACTATCCAGGCTCAGTATACTCCTGCATTACCATTTTAATGTGATCAGGGATCCCTTTCATTGTGGTAGTAGCTAGGTGTATGTATTTTGAGCAGAATTGTTCCTTTTTGTAACTCCATTGATTACCCTTCTACAATCTCACTGGTCTCTCCAGGAACTTATTTACAATGGCCTCCATTACTTTTAGGCTCTGTTTTTTTCAAACTTACGTAAAAGGTCTGGATGCCCAATTCTCATTAATTTTAATTCTCATTAATTGAGTGCTGAAATTTATTAGGTGACTGAAAATCTCTCAGCTTTGAACTAGAACTTCAAACAGCCCTTTGTTTCCTGCATTTTTATGAATCCTTTAAAAATCCAAATGTTTGCTCTTAATGTCTTTGAAGGAGGAAAGAATTGCTAAATCAATGCTCGTGGAATTTAAATTCCAAGTTCACATTCCTTTTGGAAAAATTGTCACACATGACTAGTTGCTGTTTCTTTAGTCCTGCTTTTCAAAAATCTCATGCTTCAAACAAGCAAATAATTGCTTTTCATTATTTTTTGTCCTGTATCTGCAGCGTGTTCCTTATATTTTCTTATGTGTCACCACTGATGTCTCCACAATGGCAGAAATTTATCTCTGGTGCAAGACCATTGAGGTTATCTTTCTAATATATTTTTCACTTGGTACACTGTATCTAAACACCTAAATAAAATTAAATATAGCCATGCATTTTAATGATGCTGCATCAGGAACTTAGAAAATTCAAAGAAACTTGAGATAAAAAATTCCAGTTTTACTAACTTCTAAAATGATTCCTTCTCCCCACCTTCACAGCTTGCAGATTAATTAATTTATGCACAAAGGAAAATTAGAATATTAGTTGCACAACATGTGTATTGTTTTGTATTTTCATAGATACATCTATTTGGGAGAAATACAGTCAGCAGCTGGGTTGTAAATCAGGACATGCAAAACTGGGAAAAATCACAATATATTGTGAAAAGCTTGTAAGAACATAACTAGATAATGTTAAATATATGTCCTCCAGCCCTTTTTTATCTGAGGACAGATTTTTGTAAAGGTATTTAAAGATGCAAATAATCCTCTAGTAGGATTTTCAGTAGTTCTTAGGCACCTAATCCTTTTGATTTTATCTTTAATGACTTTTCAACCTAGGCAAGGATTGTTTCTCTGTGTATGAAAACTCTACTTACTTTCTCCTCCTAACTCTCACGCTTTATAGATAACTCTGTAGTCAGAAGACTGGGGGGAATTTCTTCCCTACATTCTTTAGGAAGAGCTGTGCACCAAATGCCTTCTGCTACCGAATGTTCAGCTGGCTTGGATCCCTGTGCATAGGGATCTGTCTTAAATCCGTCACTGTCAATAAAAATAAGAATTTTTTGCTTCTCACTCTCAAAGGGACAGAATGAAAGTGGGTTTACAACAAGAAGATAAATATATAAAAAAGAAAAATTTAGAAAAGTGGATGAGATGCTCCTATTGACAAGGAAAATCCACACAGAATCACTTAAAGACATTACATAATTTACCCTATTCTAAAACTTGGATAATCTCATTTTGTTGTTTCAATTATCCTCCATGTAATGCACTGCTTCCTTTTGGCTCCAAATTGACAGTTGTTGAGAAATTCCTTGATGCTACACTTTGAAGCCTTGCTACATAGCGCTGCTACTTTCCTTGGCAGACTTCAAATTGTTACATAGTATGCAATGAGAAACTGAGTAGCAGACAGCTTGTTCCCTAAATATTTGATATTTGTACCTATGTGGGTGTTCACTTGCCTCATGTAAAAGCAAAACAATCAAAACAAAGTAATGAAAATTGAAAAAGATTTTAAAAGAGATCTTTTTACATATTTTCTGCTATTTATTTGGTTTGCTTGCAGTCTAAAGGTTAACACATAAATTATCTTTAACTACAAACAAAATTTGTTTTAAGCACAGTGTTTCAGTTTCATCTTCAGGGAAAATTACTAATCACACTGAGATTTTACAGGAATCTTCCTGCTCTTTTTCCACAAATGCTCAGGGTGTTCTGCAAACCTTTCATCCTCCCAGTCTTACATCCTCCCACCTTAACTGGTAGTGCTGACAAACCATATGGATTCAAGTTAACCGAGTACTGAATGGGCCTTTGTTCAGGTTCATCAAAGGTAGTTGGCTAATACATAATATTTTCATACTTGGGTTCAAATAATATATAAGTCCCAATTAAAAATGTAAGTGCTTTCAAGATGAAGTCATGTTAATCTTAGTTAAGTCCCTAAATGTTGCATGCAGAAAATACACATTTATACCTCCAAATTGTATATTGGGCTCCTAATTATCTAACTTGTGCCCCCAAAAGTATATATGCATAAACCGTACCTGCAAGTTGAGGAGTTATTGGTGAAAATTTGTTCCCTAATTGGTCTCATAACGAACATTATTCCACATTATAAAACCACTTTTCAATTATTAGTCATCTTAGGAGAAGGTCCAAACTGAAACAATGAGTTCTGAAAGTGCCTGGGTTGAGAAGAAACAGAAAAACAGGAAATGCCCAACTTTCATAGAAATAATTCACCGCAGTGACTCTCAAAGTAATAGTGAAAAGCAGTGGTCTAACAGATGGTGCCAGAGAAAAATTGTAAAAGCTCATACAAGTGAGAGATGGAAATGACTAAGCAGGTCATCCAATTTTCTCTTTGCATTTATAGGATTTTTTTCTATCTTAGATCACTTTTAATGTCCTATCTAGTTAAGTTTTTAGTGTCCCAGAAATCAGAGTACCTGCTTGCTATGTCCCTTCAGATACTTGTCTGAAGCCTCAGAAATCTAACTCTATATTTTTTTCCTATTCAGTACAAATATTACCTTTTAAAACTCCCTTCTTTTATTCTACTTTTATTCTACTTGTACTGCATCATGATTTCACTCCTTCTTGAGGTGAAAATATTGGCTCAATCCTCCAATGAAGTGAGGTGCAAAAACTTCTATTTGCTTTAACGAGGAACAAGATTTCATCCTGAGAGTTCATGGCTTTTAAAATATCTATTGTCTGTTGTCTGGGGACTATAATATTAAGTCCCCAAATGTAATAATTTCTTTACCTCTCTTTAGCTCTTTCAATCTCTGTCAGCCCCTTCAGGATTTTTGTTGACCTCTCCAAATTCTCACAGATTTAGGTTTTTATTCTTGTTGCATCCCCATTATCCATCCATCCATCCATGTTGTATGGCCTGTTTTTTCTCTCTTTTATTTTTTATTTTAATTATTTTTTCTCTTAACATTTGTTCTAAGAGTTTAGTAGGATAGAAGTTAAACTTCTGGGGATGATGAGTATTGGTACCACCCTTTTTCCTTTACTTTAAATATCAGAACAGCATTTTGTTTCAATCTACTGGTGCCTTCCTTGTCAGTGAACTTCCTTAATACCCTAGGATGCATGATAGTTGGGCTGGCTGGGATGTACAGCCACTCCCCAAGTTACGAACAAGTTACGGACCAACACTGTACGGACACTTGATATGGACACTTGGTCTGTAACTCTAAGTGTTCGCAACTCGGATCCCATAGAGTTACATGGCAACCACGCTGTTCGTAAGCACGGATCACCGTTTGTAACTTGGATCTGCATTTATGACTGCTTTGGTCATAAGTGCAGATGGTTGTAAGTGGAGGTTGTCATAACTCGGGGAGCGACTGTAGTGATTTTTCTATTTCACTATATTGGCTGGTGAACAGGAGTGCCTTATGGGAGATTTGCAAGAGAGTTTAGAGGGGAAATTTGTGGGGGGTGAGGTGGAGGGCTAGTTACACTCAACCTTCTTTAAACTTAAAGCCTAAAATACTCCTTGATTAAAGCAAGACAACAAACAAATGAGCTGCGGGAATAAAAAGAGAATGTGAGCAGAAGACCAGTAACAGAGTGGGACTATCCAGTTCATTGCATGCAGCATGTAATGCATATGCGTGCATTTGGTGCAAGGAGCTCCTGGTCCTAAGAGATTGTATACAGACTTTGGAGACCAAAGTGACTGAATTGGAGAAGCTAAGGGAGAGAGAGAGAGGTACATAGATGAGACCTTCTAGGACATTATAGAACAGTCCTACCCCTAGTCTGACAGCTCTGTACTGCTGAGGAGGATGGAAATTTCATGGAAAGAAAGCATCCAATGGAAGCAGTGGGAAACAATTCCATAGTTGGGACTCTCCTTCCAGATGATGGCATGGTATCCTCTTGCACAGAGGATACCTCTCTGGGGGTATGTCTACACTACCTCGCTAGTTCGAACTAGCGGGGTAATGTAGGCATCCCGCACTTGCAAATGAAGCCCGGGATTTGAATTTCCCGGGCTTCATTTGCATAAGCGGGGATTTAAAAATGGTGGCACCCCGCTTATGCAAATGAAGCCCGGGATTTGAATTTCCCGGGCTTCATTTGCATAAGCGGGGATTTAAAAATGGTGGCACCCCGCTTATGCAAATGAAGCCCGGGATTTGAATTTCCCGGGCTTCATTTGCATAAGCGGGGATTTAAAAATGGTGGCACCCCGCTTATGCAAATGAAGCCCGGGATTTGAATTTCCCGGGCTTCATTTGCATAAGCGGGGATTTAAAAATGGTGGCACCCCGCTTATGCAAATGAAGCCCGGGATTTGAATTTCCCGGGCTTCATTTGCATAAGCGGGGATTTAAAAATGGTGGCACCCCGCTTATGCAAATGAAGCCCGGGAAATTCAAATCCCAGGCTTCATTTGCAAGTGCGGGATGCCTACATTACCCCGCTAGTTCGAACTAGCGAGGTAGTGTAGACATACCCTGGGGGAGGGAATGTGAAATTGCCACATCATGCCAGGTATACACCATAAAAGAGAAACCTATCAAATGATCAATGGCACATAGCTCTGTAGAAAGCAGAGCTGAACAGCATCATAACATTCCACACCCCATGTAACTCAGCATGGCAAGTATTAGAAGGAAAGAAATACTTTGGAATTAGATACCAAATCTAATTACAAACAAGCCAGAAGAGGCTTGCACAACCCTGGCCAATTAGGATGGAAGTAGTGAGCCAATTGGAGCCAGGCTGGGTCCTATAAAAAGCTGCAAGGGCTGAGAGGTGCTCACTCCTGCTCCAGCTTTGGAGTAGGAGGGTACTGGCTGCCTGGGAAGCTACAGAGGGTACCTGAGGCAGAGCAGTGCTGGGTAAAGGCAGGCAGAACAGGGGATATCTGGCCTCACCAGACTGCCAAGATGCAGGCCTGATACAAGGGCTTGAGAGAGAGATACTAGGGCTGCAGGGAGGCAGCCAGGGCAAGAGAAGGCAGCAGGTCCACAACGCTTTGCCAATGATGAGTGGCCATTTCAAACAACAGTTTACCTCTCAGGGCTAGATGATGATTGGTAGTGGGTTACTGAAGCAAGGTGGGTATAAAGGATTGGGGTTTCCTGGAAGGGGAGGAGCCCAGAGTGCAGGAGCACTGCTGTGGGGACAGTACCATGAGGAAAGGGTACTGTGGAGCGGAAGGAACATGAGACCTGAAGTAGCTCAGAAGACAGGTAACTGAGGGTGAGACACCAATTAACAGTGGGTGCTCCATGTCTGGAAGAGCTAGTTCCCAAGGAGACCAGCAGGAGGTGCCACACCAGTGGCTCAACCCTGCTACGTAACGTCAAAATGAAAGCAGTAAAACTAAAATTCTCAGCTGAACAACATTTTCAAACAAGCATTTTTCCATTGGATATTTATTTTTCATCCTATTTAGAATATTAGAAATGTGAATTTGGTCTGAAAGAATGAATCCATGTGAAATTTCCTGGCTTGAGACTTTGTTTTTATTTTCTCTGTACAACATATAGCACAGTGTGGTTCTGATCTTGACTGGGAACCAATAAAAAGAATACTGCTCCCTAAGCAAGTTTGTATCCAATTGTAGAGCAAAAATAGAAAAACCGGCACAAAAATAATGCTTCTAGACAGGTGAAATGTGTACAAACTCCCTTTATTTAAGTATAAGCCTGATCATATAATTGTTATATACACGCAACATTTATTGGTTTCTCATATACATGAAGCAACTATGTAGCTTCACAAATCTCCACCTGCTACATTTCTGCTCTCATTACGCTGGTGTAAATTCAAAGTAACTCAGCTGAATTTGTGTGGTAAAGATACAGCGGAGTAACTTAAAATGTGAAGTTTAGAAGCTTAAGCATCAAACATCTATGAAGGCTATTGTTACCCACCAGCTCTGTGATTATTGGGGAACCAGAACATGGTCACCTGTCAGCCTTGTGCTCTTGGGGAGTCAGGGAGTGACACTCATGGAAAACCATTCCCCTCCCTCAGGCCTCTGCTAGAATCAAAGACAAAGCAAAGAAAAGGCCAGGGAAGACACACCTAAACTGCTTCAGACAAGGGTGATACAATTAAGGAAACACCCCAGCCTCATTTACATTAAGGATGGAACAGAGGGACATCTCATTAGCATACAGAATGGAGAGCAGCTCTTCCAAGGCAGGAACCGCACTGAACTATGGGACACCGAAAGCAGAGAAGCACTGCCTGATGGAAATCCCTGCTCCAGATGCTAATGAACCTAGTCCTGCTCACACCCAAATTAGTCATTATCAGACCAATTCTAGTAACGATCCTATTGACATCCAAAATACTGAAACTGCCTAGTTGCATTGTGAGCTCGTTCAAGGAACATCACCCATAACCAGGTGTGATCAGTCTCTATTGTCTCTCCTCTTTCTCTTTGAACTATCCCTATAAAAACTCCTATCCTTGTCCCAAGAAAACTGTTCTGATACCTGGACTTAAACTGCATCAGTTCCATTGAGACTTCTTCATCGCCTGTCTGATCGTGCTGGGGGCTCTGTTCTGCTTATCTCCTGCCCTCTGGACCCCCCGGCTACCATCATCAGCTGGGAACCCCGATCAGTGCAAGCTC